TGACGGGCGGCGCCGGCTTCATGTGAGCGGGGCCCGTGCGTGGGCTCGGGCTGCCTTGGGGGGCTCTGGGGAGGGGGTTAGCGCTGCCAAGCGGGACCCCTCGCGTAGCGCCTGCAAAAATAGTAGTAAAAGCATCGGGAATGTTTTTCTGAGCTCCCTGGAGTTAAAGGAAGGGAAGCGGGTCCGGGACATGAGGCGGTTCTCGTGTCTCTGCGCGCGCGGCAGCGGCGTAGGAAGGTGGATGCGCGTCTGGGGGAGACGCGGGGTGTGAGGGATCCCCCGGGGGATGAGGGGCGCGTGGCCCGGCGCGCCCCGCTCCTTTCGGAGCGGGTTGTCGGGAGCTGCCGTTGCGAGTTGGGGGAATTGGCCCAGCCGTTACTCGTAGGGGATGAACAGCCGTGGTAGACTTTTAGAAAGAGAACAGGATGTAGCACATAGCAGGTTTGTTTTTAATGTGCAGGTGAGTGCTGCTTCCTTGTGCTGTAGCATTAGCTTTTTCCTCCAGTTTTTAGTTCCTTAGCAAGATGTGATTAGGGGCATGATCGATGTTAGCATGTTTCAGAATACATTGTGTTCTTTTTCTGTGAATTCCCTTTTTTTCACTTTTTCTGTTCAAGCTTTCCTTCCCCTCCCCACCTCCAAAGCCAACCCATTTGATATTACTAAAGTTATTTGTCATCATTTTAATACTTTAAAACAGTATGTAGTTGTAAAATGTGGTTTTTTTCTCTCTCTTCTGTCCTACAGTGCCTCACATGTAGTTGTGTCTCTTGTAAAAAACTATCCAAATTATCTGATTGTAAATCTAGATAAGGTAAGTGACTTCTTACCTTCCTCTCAAAAGAATTTTCTTTTTTAACTCAAACTATGGCATGATGATTTTTCCATATATATATATATATATATACACGTATGTATGTATTGAATTAGTTTTTCTGTTTCTTTTCTTCTTATACAAAAACAGTGACTTAGCTGCTGATCATGTTTATAAGGATGTATTCCATAATTGCATACTACTACTGGGAAAAAATCAAAGGAGGCTTTTAAAGTTCTAAGCTTCTATTTAGCTGTTAAGAATTTGTGAAGCTGTTACCTGTCTGACTTAAAAAGTTTCATCATGTTTTCTTGCAAAATAGCTTTTCTTTAGAAATAAGGTTTTATGTTATTTTTCAAAGTTATTTGAAATACAGGCTTAATTAAGTTGGATCTGAGCTTGCTTATTCACTTCAGTGAAGACTGTTTAATGATATTTGGTGGGTATTTCTCTTTAGCTCGACTACTGTGCAAGCTTGAAGAATCTTGAAACGGTCTCCAAGAAGGAAAATTACAAATTTATCCAGGTAATAAAACCTTATCTTCCAGAAAACTTAAGTTTGGGTAGACTCATATATTAGTGTAAAAGTAATGTGATCTCCTTAGCTCCCCAGAATGGAAACCACCGCTTCCCTTTATGGTACAGTTTTGAGATTAATTCTAGTTGTCATTGTCACCGTGTGTGGTGCTTAAATGGACCTGTCAGCACTTTTTTCATCTGTATGCTCAATTTGTTAATGTTTCTGCAAATTTCACCCACTCTGATTGTGGAGGTCAGCGTTCATGTGGTCCAAGCCAAAGTTACATCTAAGCATATTTTTACATGGAAAGTATTGATTTATACAATTTAATTGAAAACTATTCATTTGAAGAAAGAGAAACATTCAAGAAAGTATGATCAAACTTGAATTTCAGTTAAATAACTGAAGTTCAGCCTACAAGAGTTTAGCAGAAATCTAGTAGTATTAATAGTGATTATTCTGTCAGTTTAAAAGCAAGTTATAGGCGTAAAATATTTCTGAATTTCTGCTTAGGAGTGAGAAGTAAGTAAATCGGTTTGACTTCCTCTCCATTTTTGACATACAGTACTTCTTAAAAGCTGTTGTTTAGAATTGTTCCTTGAGAACTTCTCAAAATATTGGTGCATTGGACATATTTGTGGCTAATTGCTTTGCTTTTGAAAATGCTTGAGTAATCCTCCTCTTCCACGTAACATCTTTTTTCAGCTCCCCGTTCACTTTTCTTTAAACCAAACTAATTAATATCAAAAACTTCTCAGCTTTTATTGAACTTTGAGAGTTGCTGCAGTTTCTGTTTAAAACTGAAGAATGGAATATTTTTTTTCTTTTTTTTGTTATATTAGAACAAGTGATACATTCAGAAAAGAAGTCAGTCTTTTCTGACACTTCATTCACTTCATAACAGTTCATGGTACCCCTAGGTGCCACTGTCTGCCAGCCAGTCTCCAATAACTTCTTTATTTGCTGTAGGAAACTGTCCTTGCAACTTCAGTGTTCAAGGCTCTTGCAATACAATTCTGTGTTTTGTGAGTGATCATGTTTCTAGTTTTAAATAACAATGCAAACCCTAAAATGAAGCAAATATACTTCTTGAGTAATAGCATCAATCATGACACTTGCATCTGGTCTTGTTTTAGACATGGCATTGATGTATTGCTTCATACTTGTGTCTATAAATAAATAAAATAATGCGTGTTATTTTATTTAAAGGTTTGGATGTGAATATCTTATTTGATCTTGCAGGGCATAATTTTGCGTTTTGGCTGGGCGGTTTTATTTTCTGTTACTACTGCTAAAGAAAAAGCTGCCTGACACTGTGGCCCAGATGCATAACACATGCCTTGGAATACATGCTTTTATTGTAAAACTCTTGCCTATGCCTCTTTTGTGATACTTTTTGTTATCAACAATCTTATTTATGTTTTTTTTTTTCCTGTTTAGGGGGATATTTGTGAACCTCACTTTATAAAACAGCTTTTTGAAACTGAGAAAATTGATATAGTCCTTCACTTTGCAGCCCAAACACATGTAGGTGAGCACTGCTGCATGCTTTATGTTCATGAGATGCATTTCTTTGAAATACTATGTCTATGCTTCTCATCCTTTTCCCTTTTACATAAAACAAAGATACAAAATCAAATGTATCCTTAAACCAACTATATATTGTTGTACCAACTGTAACAACTATATGATTTTAACTTAGAAGAGATCTACAACTTTGAAGAGCTTCACCTGACTGTTATCCATCTTGACCCTACACACATGATAACATACATTTAAGTTTGGTTTAGACACACACTGTAATGAGGTGATGAGAAGACAGTTGAGAAAAGGTTTATGCATTTTTTTAAAAAAAATTTTACTTGATTTGAGTCCAACCATAATGCAAAGGCATAGAAGCTGAAAGGGAAGTGTCAAGATTCTAGGAAGTGAAGGAATGAAATACATACCTAAAACTGCCTATTATAGTTTGCCACTCTTCAGTAAAACTGCTAAGGAAAATTCATCATAAAAAGAAGTTCTTTAAGTATTTTCCAGAAAAACACTTCTCAAAATTGATGTGCACAGAATCATTACAGCAAAGGCATAATTCTTAAAGCTGTTACTATTTTATTAACAGTAACCAATACATGTTACCATATATTAAAGCCATGTTTGAATGACAGTTTTCTTGCTGAGATTGGCCCTTCCTGCAGGAGAGTTATCCTGTCACTTAAAGTTGATCAGAGTTGGTTAAAGCTATTTCAAATGTGACTGTCTGTAGCAAGCAAACTTTTGCTTCTGGTTGTGTCCTCTTCGTAGGACCAACTAATTTGTCTTTAAGTAGGTGTAGAAAACTACAAGAATTCTTCATTTAATAATGAGCCTGCAGTCTGCCTATCCACTATTTAGTGCTAAAGCACCACCAGCAGTTTCCTGTCTACGTTGCTGCCTCTTAAGATTGAGTAGGAAACTATTATTTTAATGCTGAGTTGTATCTTGCTTAAACTCTTTTTTTCCCTGCATTTTGTTGTCCAGTTTACTCTTTCTTTTTTTTTTCTGTAGACCTTTCATTTTTGCATGCCCTAGAGTTCGCCTATGTGAATGTTTATGGCACTAATGTGTTGGTTGCTGCTGCATATGAAGCTAATGTGGAGAAGTTTGTCTATGCCAGTACAGATGAAGTGTATGGAGGTAGTATTGACGAGGTGAGTTTGAAAGTGCATCAGGATTTTTCTAGCTTTACTGAATATTGAAAAATTGCACATGAAATGAATAATTTTCCTCTGTAAATGGAGTGTGACCTCCAAACTAATTCGTACAGTTCTCAAAATTGTAAACTAATGTAGGTTGTTTGTAGAAAGATGAGCATCAAAACTGTCCATAAGTTTTTTTTTTTTTTTTTTTTTTTCATGGCGTGTTTTAAATTTAAATCACTGAGGTTGGCGTTGTTAACCTTGCCTGGCTATATCTAAGAAGTAGCGTTGGGGAATATATTACCCAGATTTTGCTTGAGAGCATTTTTGTGACTTCGGTTATGCACACGGCTTGTTCTTTTATTGCTCTGCATAGACTGTAAACTTGACATGCAGGAAACTTGTTTTATATTTGAGCAGAAATAATAACAGAACTGTAGATACTGGCATATCGTACAGGAAAGGATTTTGCGTTAGTGGAAGTGATACACAGATAACTTATGTGAAAATATATTTCACTTTTGTCCATTTATGATTGACTTTAATTCAGGAAAGGAAAACTTAGTCCAGTAAAAAAGATTATACGTGGTTGTCTGCCTCTGGTACTTGTTGAAGCTTTACTTTAGAGGGCTATGGATTGAAATTCTGCTTTTCTCTCGAGAAATAGAGTTTACAGAAATGGAAGTAAGAATCCATTTTATTTAGATCTGAAAGCTCAGTTTTCCAGCTGTGGTTCTTAGTGGCAATATGACTCTCAATAAGCCTGCTGAGGACCTGCTCCTATGAGGTTGCCTGTGAGATGTATAAAAATACACTACTCATACTGTGACCACTTCCAGTGCTCAATAATGAGACTATCTTGTGTTAATCCTCTGCTTTAGGTGAAATTAACTTTTTCAGACTGTTGTTCTTGGCTGTTCATGGATGTTCATTTCAGTTGTAACTGCAGCTTTCAGTGAGGTTTTATAACCTTCTAAGACTTACCTGGGCAAATTGTCTTTTAATTGCAGGAATTTGATGAATCTTCACCAAAGCGCCCGACAAATCCCTATGCCTCCTCAAAAGCAGCTGCAGAATGTTTTGTGCAGTCTTATTGGGAAAGGTACCAAGTAAGTTAATGCAAGCTTCAAAAATGCAGAAACTCATACTTAGCATCCATACTGTATTCATTGGGTCATAAAAGAAAAATCAGCAGTAGATAACGTAGTACCACCCCTTTCCTGATTGGCCGTTCTGTAGTTTGATTGCATCGAGGGTATCCATTGCTCTATTTGTGGAGGTAGCACAAAGAGATGGGAAAGGGGATTTTTTTGTTGTTTTTTAAATGCCCTTTTACAAAGTTGCTTTTGGCACAAAGTTAACTTGAATATGGTGTTAGTAACTCCGAAGCCTTATCCTGGAATAAGAAATAGAAAGCAAGTCTTTAGACAACCATATACCAACACATAGGTGTTTGTGTAGTGTTCTGTGGTTGATCCCTAATGGGATTGTCCCTTATGTTGTCTGACAAGCTGAGACCTCCATATGTATTTGACAGAAGCTTATGTAGTGTAATATATTAATGTACAAAACAGGTTTTAGATTTTTGACTAGAACTAGCTGCATTGGTTGTCATTAATGTGCAGGAATTTTCACTCGTAAATACTTGACTTCTTAAGTAATCACGTTCATGTTTAATACTCTTAAGTTTCCAGTTGTTATCACACGGAGTAGTAATGTTTATGGACCGCACCAATATCCAGAAAAAGTAAGTTAACTGTATGCTTTACTCTGAGATTCAGTACATTATAAATAAAGGTTTTAGTGATGTTATTCCTTTTTTCTTTTTTTCCTCATAAGAATGCATTTATCCGTGTTTATACTTTTTAAATAAACTAGCTCTTCTGCTGAATCTCTTTAATATTAAAGCTTGTGTGTATTCTATAGAATTGTTATGATGACTTTATTTCCTGTCTTGAGCTTAAGAAAAAGCAGCTATAGCGCACAAAATAGTCAAATACACTGCTTGCACCATGAAAAAAAGGAATACTTGCAATTTCTTGGCTTGATGGATTCTTTGATTAGACTTAAGAAAACTCAAAGTACCAAAGATTATTAAAATGCTTTGCTTGATTATATTTATGGTGAAGCATCTTGTTCTTTGTAGAATAACAGCTTCTAAAATAAGTAGTTTAACAATTTTCTTATTTAAATGTTTAGGTTATTCCAAAGTTTATCTCTTTGTTGCAACACAACAGAAAATGGTATGTAACTTGCTGCCTTTTTTTTTGCGTGTGTGCGTGCGTGTTGTATTTTGCTACTGAAACTGTGGTTATAATCATAATTAGGAGCTATCACTTGGAAAACAATTTCTTAACTATGGTATGACTTGCTTTAGTAATGGAACTTTTTTTTTCTAGAAGAGTTTGTGTGCAATCAAGCTATTTAAGTTGAGATACCTTCATATAACTTTAAATAGAAGCATTCAATTTAATAGTCTGCATTTAAGCAGTTTTGCTGTTTTATTTTCTATTTTTAGCTGTATTCATGGTTCTGGACTTCAAAGAAGGAATTTCCTTTATGCCACTGATGTAGTAGAAGCATTCCTTACTGTTCTGAAGGATGGGAAGCCAGGTGAAATTTATAACATTGGAACTAATTTTGAGATGTCCATTGCCCAGCTTGCTAAGGAGTTAATCCATTTAGTGAGTAAACAGTTTGATGCTTTTTCTTACCACTCTCTGGATTTTTGAAGAATTGCACTGTAAACCTTTTGTAGCAGTGAGATATAAATTTACAGCAGTCTTGAACAGAGTGCAAGGGGCATGATGAGTGAATGCTGTTTGACTCTCCATGCTATTTGCTTCAGTTTTTATTTGAGAATGTAGCACTGTTAAAGTTTGTTATGGATGTTTAAGAACTTGCATGAGGCAGAAAAATCACTGGAATTGTTCTAACTTCACCAGTTTGACAATTCAATTTATACAGAAGACAGCTTCCTTTGATATAGTTAAACATTGAAAACAAATTTAAATTTTGATGTATGTAAAAAGTCAGTGTAAGATCTGTGGGTTCTCCTTCCCAGATAAAGAAGACCAGTTCAGAATCTGAAATGGAGTATTGGATGGACTATATCAAGGACAGGTAAGAAAATCATCTGCATATGCAGGATATTTTTATTCTCAAAGTTTCTAGGTCTCTTGCTTGGTATAGTTCTTCTGCGAAAGAGTTCCTCCCCTGCAGAAGAGGAGACCTTAAGGGAGGAAAAGTTGTTTTGCTTTGTAACTTGTTTTAAATGGATTTTACATCTATGAACAGTGGAAAATACTATAGAAAAGTGGGGTTTTTTTTTCTGTTTTTGATCAGAATTTTGCATTTAAGTGGAATATATACTGCTCATCTCTAAAGGTTGGCTGTTTTCAGACTTTTTTCAACCTTGTCAGTAATGAAGGGGAAAGGTTTTGCATAGTAGCTAAACAGCAAGTAGTTGATTGTTCAAACTGAATTGTGGCAATTGTGTGCAGCTGCAGTAATCCATTTTGTGAAAGCAGTATAATCTGTTTGTGTTATGGGAATCCTCAAATTGAAGCACATGTAATGTGCTGACTGAAGGCAATGTGAAGTGCTGTGTTTCTAATTAATAAAACAGTCTAAGCTGTTTTCCCGGCTTGTTTCATGCCTTGTCAGACCTACGAATGATCTGAGATACCCAATGAGCTCAGAAAAAATGCACAACTTGGGATGGAGACCTAAAGTGCCTTGGAAAGAAGGAATAAAGAAAACAAGTACGACAAGCTTTTATTTGGATATGATGGGAGGATGAAAAGGGAGAGGGGAAAAATGGATGTATAACTTGATGAGATGCTAAGGAGAATGAACTTGTGATTTTAATTTTGCATAAAATGTTTTTTAAAAAAAATCACAGTGCATTAGTATTGGGTATCTCTCTCTAACGCTAAAATAAGTCTTGGACTATGACTCTAGAGAAGATGTTAGGTGTTTGCTATCTTACAGAATAAAATTTTGTACAAAGTTATTATTCTATTGTTACCCTTGCAATACTTAGGGAATCTTTGAATTTTCCTGCTGTTATGTCTGTTCAATTTGATTCACCAACATTTTCTCCCCCCTAGTTGAATGGTACAAAGAAAACTTTCACAACTGGAAGAACGCAGAGAAAGCACTGGAGCCCTTTCCTGTGACAGAGCCGTTTGCACAGTTTAATATTCCGTAAGGTGGAGGAGGACCAGAGGAATTATTCTACCTCACAGTCTTTTTTTGAAATCTGTAATCAAGTGACCACACTAAACTTTTTATCATGTTAAAGATATGCGAACTGTTAGGAGCAGAGAGCGACAGTACCACATGGCTTTGGAAGGGCTTTCAGCACTTTATAAGTTAATTTCAGCTCTTGGTGCAATATTTGATCCTCATTTTGTATTGATTTGCTTGTTCGAAAGAATTCTACATAATGAAGAATTTTTATAATGCTGTAAATTTATATAGCTGATGTCAAATCTGCCTTATTGATTTAGAACAAGAATATTATGATTTTGACCAGTGCAATTTCCAATTACATTTTTATTAGTTCTGAAATCTTTTATCTATATTAGTCTAGTTTTTGCAGTGTAATATAATTGTTTTGCCACAGTCAAGAGTTCCCTTTTAATTAAGGGGAAAAGAAGCCAAAGAGTATAACTCAATTGATAAAAACCTACCTATTAATTCCAGATGTTTCACAATTCTTTTCTGTTTAGTGCATTATTGTTTTTTGTAGCTGTCTGGTAGAGACTATACATCATCTAAATATCTCTTCTTTCTTCCCTTTGCCTTCTCTTTCCTGTTCTCACTTCCTTCCTCTTCCCCCCTCTCCCTCCCTGTTATTTAATCTTATGGAAGCGCCTTTTTTGGTTGATGTCTGATGATTTCTTTACAGTATTATGGACTTAGTTAAATTCCTTTTCCTGTAGAATCATGGCATCATAATGGTTGGGAAAGACCTTCAAGATCATCAAGTCCCAACCGTAAAGCTATCACCACGTATTTAACAAACTTAAAACTGCACCCCCGTTAACATTCCATTCATGCCTCTTTCTTTGATATGAGGATCACTTATAGAGAAAAGCTTAAACAGTGTTTTTTGGTTTTATTCTTTTTCTACTTTCCAGTGAATTGTGGGTTGGTATACATTGCTCAGTGCAGTGTGCCACAAGTCTTCAAGTATTTTTTTAATTATGAAATAATATTTTAGTTTTCATTTAAAAATTTGTGAAGAAACATCAGTTCTGTAAATGTGTAAATGAGATTCTTTTTCAAAGTTGATTTATTAATAAAAGTGCTATGTTCTTGTTTCCTGGCTGTTGTCAATGACTTAAGCTGTGCATGTGCAGGGGGGCTGGAAAGGTAGGCCGTGGTGCTTTTGTACTGGTGAATTCCGGCCCTGTCCTGAAGAAATTTAGCTGGCTCCTGAGGTATGTTGACACTGCTGCAAGTTCTCATGTATCTCAGAAAAATTACAGCTGACGCTCAAAATGCAGCTATTTGCAGTATTTTCCTCCACTGTGTATCCTAGATACAGGAAGAATTTTCCCCTCCTTGCATTACAGGAGCAACTGAACATTAAAAGCTACAGTTACCTGATCTAGCTCACTGCTACTGCTGCCTTTAGACCCAGAATATACCCCCAACTCCCTTATTCCCTGGGGGCTCTGCTAATAAAATGCCCCTCTTTGAGGGTAACATTCACCTTAAAAGAAGCTTTGAATAATAAGCTCTGCAACAATGACACATTCCATGTTGGGAACATAGCACTGAAGGTAATGGTTCTGTGGCAATGTAGGTGAGGTAATAATACTATTCTCCACACAACTGTAATACACCTGTATGGGGGGAAGTTCTTGAACTTGTTTTGGCAGCCAAAACTGTTGTTTGTGAAGGGCAGAAAGGACAAGGCACTAATACACTATAATCTATGAGAATATTTGCAGCCTGAATGCTAAAGCTAAGCTTGTATCCCAAATTATTTAAAACACATTGTTAAATAGGCTAAAATAGGTGATATTCAAGCGTATTCTTAATATCCTTGTTTTCCTTTGAGGAATATCCTTCTGATTACTATAAGTCCTACAATTATATACTGGAAAGAGCTGCAAAAAATTATTATAGCTATGATACACTGATAGCTGGCCTGTATGAAATCAGTAAAAGTAGCTCTTTCACATCTGTTCATGCAAAAAGACTGGATCTAGGAAGCATCCTTCTTCAGAATGCAGGAATCTTTTGAAAAAAAAATCATTTAGCTTGTGATGTGGGGTTACCATATTGGAGGAAAGGTGCAGTCTGATGGGATTTTTTGAACGTATTTCTAGAAAGTATTCTGTTTTTTTTTTTTAGATGAAGATAGTGACAGCTTTGTAACTGTTTAAGGAAGCAATGTTTTTTAAGTGGATTTTTCCAAGAGGTCTATTAATTTTTAATGGAAAGTATTTTCCTAGTCTACTTGAAGACTTAATCCTTGCAAATTTTTGAGATCTTGGCTTGGTGTTTGCACTCTTCTTTCTGTTTATTTCCCCACCCTGTTTCTTTTATGCAGGTTTTTGCTCTGAGCCACTCAGCTACTGTAGGTCAGGTTGCCTTAGCAGTTTAATGCTCTGGGAAGAACTGCTTTTTTTTTCAGGGCGAAGCCATTTTACTGACTTCTAATAATAACAGCTTGTTTTGCTATTAGCCTTCTGGCCTCTGCTGGAGAAGGAGGCAAAGGGTGAACTGGTGAATTGCTAATATGAACAAGTGTAGCTGTTGTCAAGGTTGGGGTCACAGGGCAAACTGAAATTACACCACTAAGAAAATTAATGCAGTGGGTAAACATGCATGTCACTGAACTGGCGAAGGCTTCTTAAAGGGTAAGGCTCAGTTTTGCCTGGAACTGCAGGTTCTGAGGATAGATGAGAAGCTCCCACTTGGGAAATTAGTTGGGGACATCCACTGTCATTCCTAAGTCCATCTCTTTTTGGAGATCACTGTTGGAGAATAGATCAGCTTTTCAGGGATCCCCTGAAATCCCACACATTTGGACCTAACACGCTGGGAAGAAAAGTGCCGCATTATCTTTGTACACTAAGCTGCAATCCAGCAGGAGGAAAAGGAGCACACACAAAAAAAGGGAATTTGGGAGAAGAAGGTGAAGCAGAAAGCCGAGACAGGAACTCCTGCCGTGGCCCTTCTCTGTGAGCCGGGGCCTGGTCAGGGCTGTGCACAGGGGCAGCACTTGGGCTCTCAGGTTTCACTTTAAGCTCCCGCCTTGGGCCCTGGCTGTGTTTACTTGCGTGCCCCTTCTGTGATGGGATCACAGTTCTGGTTGAGGCTGAGTTGTGGTGTGGCAGTGGGATGGGGTAGCCGACAGCTTTTCATGTCTCACCGTGCCCTTCGCTAGGGTGGGGTGGCAAGATGGTGGCTGAAAAGCTCCGTTTTCTATTCTAAGGGGTGTAAAGTGCCACAAAGTCAGTTCCGCATTAAAACAGAACTGGAATAAGCTTCAGCTCTACTGAGAGTGCCATTTTGCTAACACTTTCTCCTGATGCTCCCTCTAAGTAGCCACGAAGTGCTAATATATTTCTGCTTTTCAGTTGCTGGGTTTCTTGTATAAAAGATTAAGTTTTGCTGAGGGACTTTTTATTAAACACACGCTATCCAACTCTGAATCATCTTTTCTTTTTTTCCTTGCCATCATTAATTTTTATTTCTGTTGCCTCTCCTGGCAAAACCAAACATTTCTGAGAGTAATAAAAATCAGGAACAATCAGGAACCTGTTCATCTATAATAGCCTTGGTTTTTGCGGTAACGGGTACGGAAACGCTCATGTCAGGAGTGTTTTAACTTCTACGCATGCAATCACACTTCTGGAGTTTGCCCATGCCAAAGATCAGATTATGCAGCTGCCTCAGTATGAGACATGCTCATTAAGTGATCACATTCATCATTTCTAGCAGAACAGTCATTGCCGGGGGCAATGGAAAGTCATGGGAATATGACATTTTTGTACTTGCATGTTATTACTGCCACACCCCTGCTATCATGGTGGTTAAACAAAAAAAAAATAATTGAAAATTTGTTTTCAGTCACTAGGGAAGGAACCGCTGACCCAATCGTCCCTCTTTCTGCTTCTCAAAATGTGTCTCGTTTCCAGCTCTACAAAGCGTAGATTTCAACTGAAAAGACCTGAACTCGATTTGTTTGCACTATTCCGTGAAGTAGGTTATCAGTGGAGAACTAACAGCTACTTTCCCGTTTAAATTGCTCGTTTATGTTTTACGTGGCGTTACTGCCCCAACAAGCTGTGCCCCGGCGGGGGCGGCCGCGCGCGCAGGGCCCGGGTGCGCTTTGCATGTCGTTCATCGTGAGGCTGATTGGGGGGGCACCAGCAGAAACGGTCCCGTTTGGGCATTGACCGAATTAACGTTGGAAACGTTTGTGTGTCGAGACTGTGGCGTTGCTCGAGCATGAGCCGAAATAGCTCAGTTGGGAGAGCGTTAGACTGAAGATCTAAAGGTCCCTGGTTCGATCCCGGGTTTCGGCAGAACCCTTTTTCGTCCTTTTTTCTCCTACCGTTTCTCCGTCACCAGCGCTCGGGAAGTCCCCGTCGCTCTCCAAAACCTCGACTTTCCGGCATCTTGCTCGTGTGCCGCTGTCAGCGCGTAGCTGAAGCTGCTCCTGTTTGGCACAGAAATGAAAGAACAGCCTTTAAGGTCAAAAAAGCAATTAAATGTGCTATAGTCTTCACAACTCAGAAACCGCCTTCCGCCCCCTTCTTTACTTTCCTGTTTGTAACCGTAACATGGCTTTTTCTAAAGCACACCTCTAAGGAGGGCACATATTTGTGATCTGAAGACATCAAGAGATGTAAAATTCATTCATTTCCTTGGTAATTTTTGCAACCACTCGTATTTATGTTCCTTATCTCAATTTTAATCTGCAGTCTCTTAACTTGTAGCTCTCGTGGCTGCTAAACCCTTTTGCTCCTAGGATGGAGATGGCTTCAGAATCTGGTATCTGGTCCTCATGAAGGCTTGTTAATTAAGTCATCACCCTGCCCTTGTTTTGATACGCCAAATGGATCAACATCTTGATATCTCTCCTTCTACAGACCCTTTTTCCTGCTTTCAGACCTTTTTCTGCAGTCTTTTGCATATATTGACACCAGAGGCGTACGCAGAAAAATGCCTTCCAGTATTGGCATCACCCCTACGAGTAACTTTTTCCAAGTTGTATTTGCTCTTGG